GACTATTTGGCTTATCATCACCTATATGAGCCTTGGTAGTACCCATCTTGGCTCCTGTGGGTCCACTTTCTTGAAACACCCTTCCTAGTTAATTCCTCTAAAACCTATGTCCGCCAAAGTGACTAGTTATATCCCACACTGATGGTATGCCTGCTTGACATTCCTAGCCATTTATAAGGAGAGTGTTCTCTGTTTTACATGTTTATATTCAAGTTACTTTTTTGTTATGTAGTTGCCTTGCTGCAATGGTAATCACTCTATGTAATCTCCTTCACGTGCCACAATACACTACACAAATACTGAGAATACTAAATGAGAAGGTGGTGTGAACGTGGTGTATATGGCCAGGCACGGTGGCCCAAGCCTGTAATCCCAGCACTTTGGGAGGCCGAGGCGGGTGGATCACGAGATCGAGAGATCGGGACCATCCTGGTCAATATGGTGAAACCCCGTCTCTACTAAAAATACAAAAAATTAGCTGGGCATGTGTGGCGCGTGCCTGTAATCCCAGCTACTCAGGAGGCTGAGGCAGGAGAATTGCTTGAACCCAGGAGGTGGAGGTTGCGGTGAGCCGAGATCGCGCCATTGCACTCCAGCCTGGGTAACAAGAGCAAAACTCCGTCTCAAAAAAAAAAAAAAAAAGAAAGTGGGAAAGTGGTGTATATATGGTTAGCAACAACAGGTGATGTGGAAGATGGTTATAAATACAGTTAAGGGAGATTTCTTTTCTTTTTGTTTTTTTACAAGATTATAAAGTCAGGTAAGTTAAGGGAGACTTCATAGGCCAATAAAATTTTTGTAGATCTACCAAATTTGAAGAAAACTTATTTACAATATAATACTTTTGATTGCCTATATTATCTTCTGATAATGAGTTTTAATTTTATATGAACACTGGAGAATCTGCAGTCCATTCCCAGTTCAGACACATTTTTGAAGAACTACAAATATTGGATGGGAACACATAAACATTTCAGTGCAAGCTTTTAGAAAAATCTTAGTTTGCAAATTCATAATAATAATAGCTAGGCAAGGTGCTGTGGCTCATGGCTGTAATTCCAGCATTTTGGGAGGCCGAGGTGGGAGGATTACTTGAGGTCAGGAGTTCAAGACCAGCCTGGCTAACATGGTGAAACCCCGTATCTACTAAAAATACAAAAATTATCTGGGTGTGGTGGCAGGTGCCTGTAATCCCAGCTACTTGGGAGGCTGAGGCAGGAGAATTGCTCGAAGTCAGGAGGGGGAGGTTGCAGTGAGCCAAGATCATACCACTGTACTCCAGCCTGGGCAACAGAGTTAGACTCCATCTCAAAAAAAAAAAAAAAAAAAAAATTTGGTAATAATAGCTAACCTTTATGGAGAATACGTGCTACTCTTGCTACCAAGCACTCTCTTAAGTACTTTTTGTGCAACACATCATTTAATTCCCACAAGTCCCTTATGAGATATATACAGTTATTATTTGGGCTACCATACTGTACAAAACCAGAGGGTACCATTCACACTATAGCCCAGGTGAATGGCAACTCTCTGGAACTATGTAATATGGTAGCTTACATTATTACCTTCAATTTACTCACAGAGAAACTGAGGCAGAATATAAGTTTAAATAACATGTCCAAAGTCAAATGGCTAGTTAGTGGCATGCCAGGGTTTTGAATCCAGGCAATCTGGCTCAGGAGCTCACACAGTAAACCACTATACCATATCTATTTCTAGGATAAGGAAAATATACCTTGGTGGTCTCTTCCAGAAACAGGAACTGGGCTAGGGGCCAATGTATTTTAGAAAGGAATCACATCTTACTATATTTAGAATTTTAAAAAACTTCATCAAACATAATGAAATGCTGCAATAAAACATTTCGAAGAGACTCTATTAATGATTTAAAATTATTGTGCTAGATAAGCCAGTCAGAAAGAGACTAATACTGTGTGATTCCACTTATATGAGGTGTTGTAGTAAAATTCAGAGACAAGAAGTGAAAAAGTGATTGCTAGAGTCTAGGAGAGGGGAAAATGGGAAACAGTTTGTTGACTAGGCACAGAACTTCACCGTTGCAAAATGGAAAAACAGAAAAAAGGGAGATTGGTTGCACAACAGTGAATGAACTTAATACTACTGAACTGTATACTTGAAAACAGTTAGGATGGTAAATTTTATGTTACATATATTTTACTATTTAAAAAATGCACTGCACTGAAAATGTGTTTAAATTATATTGTTCAGTGCTAAAGGCAAGTTGCAAAGGAGAACATGTAACAAACATTTCTTTTTAAAACATAAAATAGGCCGGGTGCAGTGGCTCATGCCTGTAATCCCAGCACTTTGGGAGGCTAAGGCAGCCATCACCTGAGGTCAGGAGTTTGAGACCAGCCTGGCCAACATGGTGAAACCCTGTCTCTACTAAAAATACCAAAATTTAGCCGGGTGCAGTGGTGGGCACCTGAGTAGTCCCAGCTACTCAGGAGGCTGAGACAGGGGTATCGTTTGAACCTGGGAGGCGGAGGTTGCAGTGAGCCAGAAAAACACACCAAAAAACCTAAAAAATAAGTTATTAGGTTGGTGCAAAAGCAATTGCTATTACTTTAAATGGCAAAAACCACAATTGCTTTTATACCACTCAAGTAGTATATGCATAGAAAAAAATCTGGAGTTTTACATACCAAATTCATAATAGTGGTTATATTTGAAAAGTAGGATTATGAGGACTTTCATTTTAGATAATATTTCTATAATACTTGAATTTAAAAATAATTCATCTATTACTTTTGCAGGCAAAAAACAGGATAAAGTCCTTTTAAAGGCCTTAGTCTCCATTATCAGCACATTTTCAGATGCTCTTATCACAATGAAAATGATTTTTTTTTTTTTTTTTTTTGTTACAGAGTCTCACTCTGTCACTAGATCGAAGTGCAGTGTTTCGATCTCAGCTCCCTGCTGCAACCATCACCTCCTGGTTCAAGCAATTCTCCTGCCTCAGCCTCCCAAGTAGCTGGGACTACAGGTGGACACCACCACGCCCAGCTAATTTTTGTATTTTTAGTACAGATGGGGATTTACCATGTTGGCCAGGATGGTCAAGAAGCACTTGAAAAGGTATTCAACGTTGACATTTTTTGAACAATCCAGGTCAGTTGTTAGGTAGAATTTAAATTTTACTTGCTATGAATTGAAAGCTATTCTTAATTTAGAAGACAAAGAATCTTCTAATATCTATGATAAAGAATACTTCCTATTCTTTTGGAGGGATACAAAAACACTGTCCATTTTGCTGAAAAGATAAGTAAAATGATCATTATAATTAAAAAAATACACGTGATCGCCACTTTGAGCTTGTTCATGGAATTTGAAAGTGTGAATAGGAAGAAATAAGTATCAATTTCTAATAGCCTGCTTAGCATCTGCTGCTTTTTTTAAAAAAATAAGGATAGGCCAGGCGCGGTGGCTCAAGCCTGTAATCCCAGCACTTTGGGAGGCCGAGGCGGGTGGATCACGAGGTCAAGAGATCGAGACCATCCTGGTCAACACGGTGAAACCCCGTCTCTACTAAAAATACAAAAAATTAGCTGGGCATGGTGGCGCGTGCCTGTAATCCCAGCTACTCAGGAGGCTGAGGCAGGAGAATTGCCTGAACCCAGGAGGCGGAGGTCACGGTGAGCTGAGATCGTGCCATTGCACTCCAGCCTGGGTAACAAGAGCGAAACTCCATCTCAAAAAGGAAAAAAAAAAAAAAAAGAAAAGAATATTTCTACTCCTACTCAGCCATATTTACTGGGAAGATATCAGTACTTTTTGTTTCAATAGGGATGCTGAGCTTCTATTATGCAAACAATTATGGCCTTTATGAATCTTTTTGAAGCTTTATCAATGTCCTGTTATCCTCAATTGGTAACCATTTTATTTTGTTAACTTCTATTTAAAGCGTCAATAAAAATAGTTGAATTTAAAAGCCAGTTACATGGTTTCTATTTGGGTAGCCATGTGGATCTGTTAACTCTGTGACTCAGAGTAAACTACAGGACTTCCTGTCTGTGGAAATAATGTGAAGATACTGGTATCTGCCTCTTGCTTAGGAAATACTGAAAAATGAAGCTGGCATATGTGAAACTTCTTGTATTCTTTTGAAGGACCTTAGAAATAGCATCATTGGGTTGTTTACGTAAATGTTAAATTAGGAGACCAAACAATTGTCACAGTCTAGAGAGGCTGGGAAGACATGACAGCTAAATGCAATGTGGTACTGTGACTGGATCCGGCAGCAGAAAGAAAACACCAGTGGGAAAACTGGTGGAGTTTAGTTAATAGTCGTGAACCACTGTCATTTTCTGAGTTTTGATAATTCTACTGTGGTAATATATTAACAATGTGCCAGGAGCGGTGGCTCGCGCCTGTAATCCCAGCACTTTGGGAGGCCAAGGCGGGCAGATCATGAGGTCAGGAGTTTAAGACCACCCTGACCAACATAGTGAAACCCCGTGTCTACTAAAAAAAAAAAAACTAGCCAGGCATGGTGGCCCACACCTGTAGTCCCAGCAACTCGGGAGGCTGAGGCAGGAGAACTGCTTGAACCCAGGAGGCAGAGGTTACAGTGAGCCAAGATTGCACCACTGCACTCCAGCCTAGGCAATTTATTTTATAAAATAAAATAAAATAAAATAAATATATATATACATACACACAATGTGGGAAATTGGGCGGGAACTCTCTTTAATACTTTTGCAATTTCTGTATGCATCTAAAATTCTTCCAAAATAAAAGGCTTATTTAAGAAAATAGGCAGCCATTTGCTTGACCCTTGTTTTTTTTTAGAGACAGGTTTTCACCATGTTGGTCAGGCTGGTCTCGAACTCCTGACCTCAGGTGATCCACCTGTCTCAGCTTCCCAACGTGCTGAGATTACAGGTGTGAGCCACTGCACCTGGTCCTGCTTGACCCATTTGAAAAATAACAATATAGAATGTCTAGTAATGAAATAAATAATTTTACTTAGTACTTACCCTGGATGTTGTAGCCTATTACACTTAGTGATGCAAAGATAGTAGCCAAGTAATCCAAAAATAACCAAAAATACTCCAGCAGCAATTAATCCAGTCAGAAGGCCCATAACATCAATTTTCTCTCTGTTGCCATCTTGAAATAAATCATTAAAATAACATAAATATAACAACTACATAGCATCACCTATGATTTCAACAAATTTAATCCTGGGTCTAAACACATTATACAGCATCTAATCATTGATGTTGACTTCTTTCAAGTCTTTGTGCTAGAGAATCTACCTAAAAAAATTTAAATGACACTTCTAAAAGCCCTAGTTATGGTTATTCTTTTATTTATTTAAAATAGGTCATATTAAATGGATAATATTCAGCATTAAGTGGGATAAACATATTTGCTCCTCAACTAGACATACTTTGGTATTAATCACTAAGATTATATTTATTAAGCAACTCAGGGTAGCTATGCGATATAATCTGCCATGACGGGGGGTTCCTACAGAAGAGGAATGGAAGAATAGCTGGTGAAAAATACACCCAACTAAAATGCAGCTAGAGATGATCAATACAGATTAGATAAAGGATCTCCCCTCTCTATAAGTTACTTAATTCGATCCAACAATCTTATCTAGCAAAATGTTTCATCTACCTTTAATGGTTAAAAAAGAAAACAAGTTAACATAGTTTACATCTGGAAATGAATAGAATCTACTTTTATTCTATGCAAGTCTTGACATAGCTGAGCTGTTTAAAACAGCTTTAAGCCCATTATCTCATTTCCCTAGTATCTCACCAAACTTGATTTTCAGTGTATAGATAGATGAATCTGTCCTTTTCTGTCTGAGATAGCCTAGTGTATAGTTGAGAAATCTCCTTGTATTTATAAGATTTGTATGTTGAGTAACAACCAAACTCAAAACAATAAAACTAAAATGTATTACAATAGAGAGAGGGTGAGAAAAGCATTAAATTTGATCAATTACTGTTTTACCTGATTTTGTGGTTGGTCCTTTAGCTGAATATTCCTGCCAAAATGCATTCTAAAAAAAAGGTAAAATTCCCAAGTTATTCAATATCTTTATTATCATTATTTCATTTGGTCCCAATGACCTAGACTAGGGGTAGTAAACTCTTGGCAGGTATCATAAGTAGGAGACCAGTTCATTCAAGCTGGAGGGTGTGACTCACTCTAATTAAAGCACTACCACCCATAACTGCCTCTGCTGTTGTCTATCTAATTGTCAAGGGATTACTGCCAGTTCCAGATCTTTACTACTGTGCCTGCTATTTTCCCTTCACCTGAGTGGAGCTCCCACTAAAGCACTGGGGGAAATTATTACATTAGAGAGTAGGTGAAAGTACCAAAGTTAGAAGTTGAGGCTGTGGACTCACTACCATGTTTGAACAGGAGACTGAATTTTTCTGTGGGAGATAAGCTCTCAGTTTGTCTCAGGACTTTTTTTTTTTTTTTTTTTTTTTTTTTTTTTTTTTTTTTTTAAAGACAGGATTGCTCTGTAGCCCAAGCCAGAGTGCAGTGGTGTGATCATGACTCACTGCAGCTTTGACTTTACAAGCAATCCTCCCACCTCTGCCTCCTAAGTAGCTGGAACTACAGGCACATGCCACCACTCCTAGGTAATTTTTTCTTTTTTGTAGAGATGGGGATTTTACCATGAAGCCCAGGCTGGTCTTGATTTCCTGGGCCCAAGCAATCCTCCCACCTCTGCCCCCCAAAGTGCTGGGATTATAAGTATGAACCACTATGCCCTTCTGGAAGATCTTATTGAAAAGTATTATTGATTTAGGAAGACATTCTTTTTTTTTTTGAGACGTTGTTTTGCTCTTGTTACCCAGGCTGGAGTGCAATGGCGCGATCTCGGCTCACTGCAATCTCCGCCTCCTGGGTTCAGGCAATTCTCCTGCTTCAGTCTCCTGAGTAGCTGGGATTACACTCACGCGCCACCATGCCCAGCTAATTTTTTGTATTTTTAGTAGAGATGGGGTTTCACCATGTTGACCAGGATGGTCTTGATCTCTTGACCTTGTGATCCACCCACCTCGGCCTCCCAAAGTGCCGGGATTACAGACTTGAGCCACCGCGCCCGGCCTGGGAAGACATTCTTGAGACAATTTTAAGTTCAGTGCTACTTGAGAGAATACAAATGAATTTTAAGGACCCATGATACAATTAGAAAAGGTTTGTGAAAAATAGAATAAAATTCCAACAGGTACAACTACACAGTATATGCTTCATTTTTCTCCTTAATAAACACAGCAAATACTTATAGGGAATGGGAGCGTGGGCACAATGATATAAAAGTCAACAACTAGGTTCCATTACCACCTGCATTTGAAGGATACCTAAGGAGGTTCTTATTGACCAAAAAGTAAAATAGGACTCTTTGGAAAGGGAAAAAGGAGCTAGCATTATGAAATCTACAAAAGTAAAGAATTTAGGGCTGGGCGCTGTGGCTCACACCTGTAATCCTAGCACTTTGTCAGGCTGAGGCGGGCGGATTGCCTGAACTCAGGTGTTTGAGATCAGCTTGGGCAACATGGTGAAACCCCGTCTCTACTAAAATACAAAAAATTATCCAGGCATGGCAGCATGCACCTGTAGTCCTAGCTACTTGGGAGGCTGAGGCAGGAGAATTGCTTGAACCCGGGAGGTGGAGGTTGTAGTGGGCCGAGATTGTGCCACTGCACTCCAGCCTGGGCAGCAGAGTAGACTCTGTCTCCAAAAAAAAAGATAATTTGGGTTACTTAATGTTTTTGAAGACTGTGACAGATTATCATAGGCACAATGGCATCTGTTTTGTACCTTATCAGGATTAACAGAACTTGATTATATTCTAAGAAAGAACTTTTAAAAATGTTTCCCTTAAATTACACTGATAGACCAAACGATATATTTCCAAATACAAGGGCTATAAATTTTGTATCCTCGGTGCCAAGGAGAACACCTGGCACATAGCAGACTGTCAGTAAATACTTGAAATATAAATATGGGTAATCAAGTAGGTAAGGTCACCGATAGGACAAATTGCTTAGTCATAAATGATTGAAGCCTGAGTTAGAGCACTAACCACAAAATCTTGGAGTTAAATTTCACTCTGCTCCATGATGAATTTTAAATATAATAAACATTAAACACACAAAATCACAACAGTCAATAATTTACTAATTACTATAAACCCCATTAATCGGGTGTAGAGCCAAGTCTAAACAGGTTAATTACCATTTTAAGGAAGTAGAAAGAGATATCAGGTACATAACCCTGATTTTGTTTAAAGTGTAAAATCTCTAATAACGGAAAGTGCCACTTTCTTAAGTACAATAGAATGATTCCAGATAATTAACATAATCAACCACATTACCGTTTTATCTTCATCCACAAAAATCTCTCTGGCTTCCTCATAATTGCAAAGTTCTTCAGTGCACTCTCTTTCTAGGTCACCAGGAGTGAAGAGCTCCAAATCAAATCTATTATACAGGAGGCGTCTATGTATGAAAAAGTTTGCTTCTTCTTTTGATGTAAACACTAATAAAGTAATGGAAAAGACTTAAACATTGATCAAAAATATTCAAAAAATTCCTGTTTTAATTGTGGAAAAAGTGAATAGTCCTCTTGATGTGGTTAAATTATACAAACCTTTTTTTGTAAAGCTTTAAAATCTAACCAAAAAAAAAAAAGAAAAAGCATCAGTGAAGATAATTTCCTATAAATATGAAATATAAAATTAGCACAATTCCACTGGAGTTATGTCCAAAATTACTAGTATAAATAACAATTATTTAAATATCTTTTTCTCTCCAGATAGTTATTTTCTCAATAATTGACAGGTCAGACTATTCTGTTTCTAAAGAATTTGTTCTCTATTATCTTGACTGAGAAAAATTAGTGGGGCATTATGGGCAGCATATTGAACTGAGAGTTAAAAGACAGATTTTTGGTTTTGATTTAGCTTAAGCTATCAGTTGTAGATTCTTTTCTTTTTTTAGACGGAGTTTCGCTCTTGTTACCCAGGCTGGAGTGCAATGGCACGATCTCAGCTCACCGCAACCTCCGCCTCCTGGGTTCAAGCAATTCTCCTGCCTCAGCCTCCCAAATAGCTGGGACAACAGGCGTACACCACCATGCCCGGCTAATTTTTGTATTTTTAGTAGAGACAGGGTTTCACCTTGTTGACCAAGATGGTCTCGATCTCTTGACCTCGTGATCCACCCACCTCGGCCTCCCAAAGTGCTGGGATTATAGGTGTGAGCCACCGCGCCTGGCCTCAGTTGTATATTCTAAGATAAGTCACTTATATTCTTTGGGCTGCCATTTCCTCATTTATAAAACCGGGAATTAAATTAAATAATCACTAAGATCTCTTTAAGTTCTTAATTTTGTTGTTGTTTTTTGAGATGGAGTTTCACTCTGTCACCCAGGCTGAAATGCAATGGCACGGTCTCAGCTCCACCTTCCAAGTTCAAGCGATTCTCCTGCCTTAGCCTCCCAAGTAGCTGGGACTACAGGCATGTGCCATCACACCTGGCTAATTTTTGTATTTTTAGTAGAGACGGGGTTTCACTGTTTTGGTCATGCTGGTCTCGAACTCCTGACTTCATGATCCACTCGCTTTGTCTTCCCAAATTGCTGGGATTACAGGCATGAACCACTACAACTGGCCGAGTTCTTAAATTACAAATTAATGCTTATACATTAAAGTTGCTGTATTCAAGTTTATGCTAAAAGTTATAAAATTCTAACCTTCTAAATTAGTGAAAATATAAGCTAATTGTAAGATTTAACTAAAGACATTCAGTTCTTTCCAAAATAGTAGCTCTCTCTACTGTACTCCCCAAATACGTGTCTCTAATGTTTTATAAGTTTCCCTTTACATTTGACGGGAAGGTAAATGGTAAACATTACAAGGTTCAGAACAGGTTGACACAAAACCAAAGCATCCAACCATGGTAGTATTTTCAAAACCCACAAACTTTAAACTTGTTCTGTTGTCATACAAACACAAACAAAGCTTAAGAGATTTTGCTCCAGATCATATTACTAAGACTGGAATTCCGAAAGTGAGAACTACATCACAATGCTTAAAAGAATTTAAAAGTGTGGATACTTTTCACTGCTCACCATTACTAAAGAAAAAAATGTATTAAAATAGGCAATTGAAAGACTGCTCATGAGGGATCATGGCTGGAAAACTCATACTGATTTGTGAGTGACCTCAAGTCACACATTTATTTTTGCCCCCTTAAGAACAGTCACATCTTGTCCAATATATTTTTTCTATAAATGAATTATCTTTCCAAACAGGTCTGAATGTTCTAGAGCTATTTTGTCTAATGCAATAACCACTAGCCACAGAAGGCTGGGAGCGGTCGCTCACACCTGTAATCCCAGCAGGCTAAGGCAGGCGGATCACTTGAGCCCGGGAGCTGGAGACCAGCCTGGGCAACATAGTGAAACCCCATTTCTACAAAAAATGCAAAAATTAGGCTGGTGTGGTGGTGCACGCCGGTAGTCCCAGCTACTTGGGAGGCTGAGGTGGAAAGGTAACTTGAGTCCAGGAGGTAGAGGTTTCAGTGAGCTGAGATCATGCCACTGCCCTCCAGCTTGGGCAACAGAGCAAGATCCTATCTCTAAATGAATAAATAAGAGTTGTGGCTTGTCTGAATTTAAATATTCAGTAAGTGTAAAATACACACAAGGATTTCAAAAACTTGGTGTAGAAAAGAAAAAGAATGTGAAATGTCTCCATAATGTTTTATATTGCTTATATTTTAAAATGGTGATATTTTGTGTACTAGATTAAATGACATACATTCTTAAAATTAATTTCATCTATTATTTTTTACTTTTTAGAATACGGCTGTTAGAAAAATCTAAATTATTTATGTAGCTCACATTATATTTTGGGGGAGCAGCACTATTCTACAATGTCCATTTCTATATTATAAATAACAAATATGGGCTATTCAAACCAAATGGGAAGCTACAATGGGATAATTGGTGATGGTTGTTTGGAAAAGTATTCTAAAAGGTAGATAGAGGGGCTAGTGTGATGAAATATTTCTATTCTGTTTCTTCCTTTGTTTTATTGTAGATTTTATATGATCACAAATGGAGATAGTATGAAAAATTTTCCAAGCCTCCGTCACACCTCACTGGGATTCCTACAATGGTCTTCCAAGGGTCTCCTTGCTGCTCTATAGTCTGTTTTTAACATAACAGCCAAAGAGAGCCCTTTAAAAGATAAGATAGACTTTGTTCCTACTTTGCTTTTTAAAAACTTTCTAACAGCAATTCCACTGCCTGCAGAGTAAAAGCCAAAGTCATTACAATGGCTTACATGGCCCTCTTCGGTCCGGTCCCCAAGCCCTTACCCCTCTAACCTCATCTCCTACCACTTTCCCTGTGTATTCTGTTGTAGCTATGCTGGCTTCCAACACACCTGGTTCTCTCTGGCCTTTGGACTTACTGTTCTGAACAGAACTTACTTATTTCAGTTTGCTCTCTCACATCCTTCAGGATTTTGTTCAATGCTACCTTGAAACCCCCATCCCTACCCACTCACCTTTGACACTCCCTGTTCATACTCTGCGTTTCTCTATAGTCCTCATCACCATCTGGTTTTCTATATGCTTTACTTAACCCTGTTCTCCTCACTAGAAGGCAAGCTCCATTGGGATGTTGGTTCTTGGCCCATAAGAGGTGCTCAGAAAAATTACTGACTGAATGAACAAACTCAACTTTGCAATAGTGGGAGAAAACTCTTGGACCTAAAGTCTACCAATTGAAGCAATTCATAGGTCTAGGTCTGGTGTTTCTCAGCTTGGCATTGGTTTAAAGTATCAAACTATTGATGAAGCAACCCATAGCCTGCCTCACTTAGCTATACTTACTGCATAAAATCTAAGTTCAGAATAGAGAATTAGATATCTGCCTCTGTATTGCTACTTCTCAAATATGTCCAGATCCTTCCATTTTATTGGCTAAAAAAAAGCAGTGCCAAATTTCTCATGATAGTCTTCTGTTCCAGTAGGTTGAGTTATTAAAAATATACCCCCAAGAGGCCGAGATGGGTGAATCACGAGGTCAGGAGGTCTTGACTGATATGGCTAACATGCTGAAACTCCGTCTCTACTAAAAATACAAAAACTTAGCTGGGCATAGTGGCACCCACCTGTAGTCCCAGCTACTCGGGAGGCTGATGCAGGAGAATCACTTGAACCCAGGAAGCAGAGGTTGCAATGAGCTGAGATTGTGCCACTGCACACCAGCCTGGGCAACAGAATAAGACTCTGTCTCAGAAAAAGAAAAATACACCACTATGGAACTCAAAAGCTACTTTTATAGGGGAAATTAAAAAAGGTAGAGCCATAAACATGTTCATTTTTTCTTAAATAATATTTATGCCAATATCATAAATATTATATTTATGATTACTCATGCTATTATGATTAATACTATATTAAGCATGGCTTCAAGGGGCTGCTGTGTGCCATTCTCCTGAGTGTGAAAGTTCTGATTCTGTCACTGACTGACCGTCAGTGCCAGATCAGATTTTTCCCTGTATCCCTTATGATCTCAGGAGAAATACTGTCTTTTGTTACTGGATTCTAAGTAACCCTGAATTTGCTTTTAATTGAAAGGAAGCAAACTTCCCTGCCCTTGGAACACCCTTGGCTTTCAGCAAGAGCTCCTATTTTCCCCTTGACCATGGCTGAAGGATGCAATGGTCTTGGCTCTACCTTCTTAGATTCTCTTCCCTTCTCTATTTCTCCTGTCTTAGACTATCCTAAGACACTGACCATGCTTTTCACTGCTCTAAATTCACCAACCCAGATACTCCATTCTCCTCTTCAATTCTATCTCCTTGTGTTTTCTAAATAAGCTCCTTTACAGTCATTTCAACTCCAACCTCATGCTTTATCAGTAAACCCAGCACTTTGGGAGGCCGAGGCTGGTAGATCACCCGAGGTCAGGAGTTCAAGAGCAGTCTGGCTAACATGGTGAAACCCCATCTCTACTAAAAATAATTAAAAAAAATTAGCCAGGCACAGTGGCATGCACCTGTAATCCCAGCTACTCAGGAGGCTAAGGCAGGAAAATCACTTGAACCCAGGAGGCGGAGGTTGCAGTAAGTGTCACTGCACTCCAGTCTGGGAGACAGAGTAAGTCTCCATCTCAAAAATAACAAAGAAGAATTTAGCCAAAGGTCCTTTATTTCTAGTTCCTTTTCATACCTCCATTTATTATAGCCCACTGGCAGATGGAAGGCATTGGCTTCTCTGCCATACAACTCTCTTGAGGCAGAGTTACTGCTACTCACTCTTTCCTCCTCTCAGAGTTCTCTGTTCCAGCTTCTGTTATACAGTTGATGGAGATTGTCTGTTTAACACCCTGCCTCCTGCACCAGATGAAAATATCCTCCAGGGCAGAGATTGCAGTCTTTCATGTCTGTGTCAGCACACACAGCATAGGCCCTGGCACTTGGCATGTGTTCATAAAGTTGTGACTGACTGAACAAGCTGTATTTTCAAATGTGTCGGATCCCTCATTCACATTTCCATAGACATCTCCAGCTCTCCACACTCAAGTATGATCTCTAAATTCCTTCCATAGCTTGTGATGTCCTTGAGAGTGTCTTTTATTTATTTATTTATTTATTTTCCGAGACAGAGTTTCCCTCGTTACCCAGGCTGGAGTGCAATGGCGTGATCTCGGCTCACCACAACCTCCGCCTCCTGGATTCAGGCAATTCTCCTGCCTCAGCCTCCTGAGTAGCTGGGATTACAGGCATGTGCCACCATGCCCAGCTTATTTTTGTATTTTTAGTAGAGACGGGGTTTCACCATGTTGACCAGGATGGTCTTGATCTCTTGACCTCGTGATCCACCCGCCTCGGCCTCCCAAAGTGCTGGGATTACAGGCGTGAGCCACCGTGCCAGGCCTATTTATTTATTTTTATGTTCCTGTTTTAAATAAAATTCACTCTGTCACCCAGGCTGGAGTGCAGTGGCACAATCTCAGCTCACTGCAGCCTCCATCTCCCCAGTAGTAGGCATGTGCCACTATGCCGGGCTATTTTTGTAATTTAGTAGAGATGGGGCTTCACCATGTTGGCCAGGCTGGTCTTGAATTCCTGACCACCTGCCTTGACCTCCCAAAGTGCTAGGATTACAGGCGTGAACCACCATGTCCAGCGAAAGTGTGTTTTATCCCTGTGTCATGTGAATGAATAATTGCACTCACAATTATATTAGGGAAGAGCATCTGAGTATGAAGCCTTTTAAGTGCAACCTTCTAAGTGGACTGATATATATGGTGCAGCTTGGGAGGGACTAAAAAGTATCCTCTTCCAAAATCTCTCCCTATTCCTCTAGCTAGCCTATCCAGTCGTCTAGAATTCTGTCATCAGAGTTTGATTCTTTTGGGTTAATGGATTGTTCTATCTAAACACACACAACTGTGTTAATCATTAATAACGTCAGTTAGGAGTATTAGTGTAACAGATCCTTCCCAAATGAAAATGAGCTGAGAACAGGATCTGATGAGAAGGGATAAGAGACAGGAACGTGTGGGGACATGGATCCAGAGTACTGACACTGGTTGGGGAAGCACCGTGACTAGTCAGAGAGAAGGATGCTAAGAGCCAGAGGCTTTCCCCCCCCCTCTTTTCTGGTTTTACTAGGTTAGGCTTTTAAAATATAGGCAGGAAACAAACTGTTAATGAGAAGCCTAAAAACTATGGACTTCTAGGTTAGCAAGCCCCAAACCTATCTTCTCTCAACTAGCTGCTTTTATCTAGACAACTAGACCATCTGAAAGTCAAAAAGGACCTCAGAGATGATTTTACGCCCCACTCCCATCACTTTTACAGATGAAGACATTCAAGCCCAATGAGGTTAATTTATCTTGCTCAGGGTCTCACAACAAGTCCAGACTAGATCCTGGACTCCCCGTTCACCTTTCCAGGAAGAACAAGTAATTATGCTCATTATAATCGCCACACAGCTTCCTCTAGAGAAACGTCACTCACTGATTTTCAGAAGCTGAAATAGGTTTTCCATTCAATTAACCACAAACAAGGTCTTACATATATACTTATTAAAGGAAACTCAGAAAATAAAGTTGTATAAATTGCAGTTGAAGAACATAAAAAACCACAACCTTGCCAAATATGCCACAAATTAAACTAAAGGATATTTTAGTGCTTCTATGATTGATCGGGGTATGTCATTTCAAATACTGCACTTTCTCACTGGCATCTGTACCACGCGGCTCCGATTTCCAGGGACGTTTTCGTGCTTACCTTCTTCTCCCACATGCGTAGAAGCTTTTGGGCCTCTTGTGCAATGAGGAAACGCCAGGGTAACTGTGGGCAATTGGCTGAGTAGAACCAGAAGTGTAAACATAGTCTGGCAACTGTCAAACAAACTAAAAAAACAAAAAACATAGTTAAAAAAAAAAAAAGTCCCTGGCTCAGCACTCTGAGTTTCTGTGGAACTGAATCACCAACCTGTTGTACTCAAAGCCTCGACGCGAGAGCGCCCAGAGCGTGGTTTCGGTCTCCGGGACTCCAGGTGCGCCCAGAAAGCAGCCCCGAGAGCGCCTGGGACAAATGCCGCGCCCCGGGACCCTGCCAAGGGCTGATCCGGGACCTGTCGCTGCGGGGAACCCTCGGCTATGTGTTCGAATCCAACCCAGTCTGCCGAGGTGGCCTCCACCGATGTGCCCCCCTTTCCAGTAACCCGCTCCTCGCCGAGTCCCCCCGCCGGGCCCCGCACCTGTGTCCCACCGCACATGTTCCAGCAGCCCCCGAGCGAGAGTCTCGTCTTGGGGTGGTTCCTTCGGCCGTCAGGCCCTCGGTCTCCGGCACCCTCAAACCTCGGCGACGCTCCGGGCCTGGCTGTCCCCAGGGTCTGGGTGGCGCCCGCGCGCAAACCAGGGACGCGTCTGGGGTCCACAGAAGGGCGCCCGGGGAACACGCGCTGCGCAAGGTCCTGCCTCGGTACTGGGAGGCGGCCGACGGAGGAAGGGAGGAGACGGCTACCTGGGGATACCTGGCCGCGCCCCTCCTCCCGGGGGCCGGCCTACCTGCGGCCAGCGGGCGGGCAGTGGGCCGGCGTCTCCTTGGAGTCCGCGCTGCGCTCTCAGCCGTCTCAGCTTCTGCCCCAGCCCCGGGCTGGCCAGGTCGTCAGCCAACAGTTCTGGCCCCGCCTTGGCGGCGCGGGTGGCTGCTTTTCGATTTGTGTCTGCACCCGGCGTTCTCAATGCTCCTAATCCGGGGAGCGTTTCGGTTCTCAGTCCTAAGCAGAGCGCCCTCCGCGCGTCCAGGGCTTTTCGCTATGGATCGCGGTAGGCCAGGGGTCCTGCGTTTACTTTAGGTCAACTGTTCTCAAGAGTGGTCCGGGGACAAGGACAAGATATTCATCGACAAAATACCCTTTATTCGTGATAAGAAATGGAAATGGCCTTAAAATTAATTTATTTCATTGGTTCTCCAATGGTGGTCTGCCATGTCTGTGATGTCTCCAAGATCTTTTCTAGGTGTCTCTCTGGTCAAAACTATTTTCATTATGGTAACAATACATGATTTGCCGTTTTCACTTTCATTCTCTCAAGTGTACAGTGGAAATTTCCAGGGGCTATTTTACATGTAATAGTCATCACTCTGTCTGCTAACAGAATACCTGCGGGTGCGTGCTTGTATTTTCTAGTATTTTCCATGGTAGTATGTTTAAAGTATCAGTATGTACATTTTATAGAGATTTATGTAGATTTATAGAGATTAATAAAATTTGTTCTCTACTTCTGAAAGTACTGTTTTTCTTTTCTTTTCTTTTCTTTTTTTTTTTTTTTTCAGAGTAGGGGTTTCACTTTGTTGCCTAGGCTGGCTCCTTGAACTCCTGGGCTCAAGAGATCCTCCAGTCTCATCCTCCAGAGTAGCTGGGACTAAAGGTGTCCACCATCTCTCTTGGCTACTGCTTTTGTATTTTGATTAGTTTTCTTTGTTCATATCTACTAGGATAGCTATAACCTCATTATTCTCAAATAATTATCTTGAAATCTTGATCTTTTCCTTGAGTCAATGCATAAACATAATAAAAAATATGCTTTGTTGTCTTGATTTCAAAAATATTTTGAAAATTTCTCAGTTTTAATGTTAGATAATAAATATCATTAGAAGCAATTCACGTAAGTGAAAACTCTTTGGCATCCTTGATAACGTAGGTGTGTAAAAAGGTCTTGATCAAAGACTTCAAGAACTGCTGCATCAAGTAATGAAGGCAGCAGGTGGACAGAAGACCTGTGCCAGGTGATGGTCACATCCTTCTTTATCCGAAGAACATGCTTAACAATTCTTTGAAACACTATTTATGCTTTGGTCAAAGTGGCCTGGCACTTGCTGGCCAAGGGAAACATTTTTCCCCCCTTCAATTTTTTTTTCCCCTTGAGACAGAGTCTCGCTCTGTCACCCAGGCTGGAGTGCAGTGGTGCAATCTTGGCTCACTACAACCTCCGCTTCAACTGATTCTCCTGCCTCAGCCTCCCGAGTAGCTAGGATTATAGGCATCCACTAACACGCCTGGCTAAATTTTTCTACATTTAGTAGAGACGGGGTTTCACCACTTTGGCCAGGCTGTTCACAAACTCCTGACCTCAGGTGATCTGCCCACCTCGGCCTTCCAAACTGCTGGGATTATAGGTATGAGTCACCACGCCTGGCCTCAAATTTCTGGTTAATTCAATTTTTACCAAATTCCGTTTTTCTCCTCCCAAAGGATATTGTCTATTTTAGACAATATTTTATTATGTTAAATATATTTGATTATTATATTTTATTATGATTATTGATTATCAACTGAATGCTTCTTAAGTTTTCTGCAGAAATTTCGTTTTCACTAATTCCTTCTAGGCAGTGCTTTCCCTTTCCCTTCTTCCAGTCCCTTCCTCTTCACTCTCCATTTGTCTACCTCGTGGTCTAAACTGTTTCTGTGATGGAGTCTTCTCTCCCTCTTATTCAAGCAATTGGAATCAGACGATGAAGAGGCCCAGACATGGTTTATTGTGGTTGAACACGAGAATAGGAAACATCTTCACTAGAACACCCATTTTCCTGTTTATTCCTTGAGTCAACCTACAGCACTGAGCCTTCCCGGTAGGGAGATGGACACCATGTGTTCTGGAGGAGAATTTAATCTTGTGAGACCTAGATCTGAGAATGTGGGCCTGTGACATTCTTATCAAGTGCAAGAACTGACTTACTCATTTTTTCATCCTCCACAGTACCAGGGGAGTGCTTTCCGCATTGTTCATGTTCAATACATTTTCATTGACTGCAAGCAATTTATTTTCAGGTAGGAAAAGTACTTCATTTCCCACTACTCTAGGGAGAGGCCCATGGTCAAATGCCTCATGCTATGCAATCAGCAGTTGTGAACTTTGATGACATTCCTTGGTAGAATGAGTCCACCCACATATCTGGATATTTGGACCAAAACAAATGAGGCCTTGTGCTTGCATTAAAAATCAGAGTTTATAGACAGAGAGGGAGGCAGACAGAGAAATGAAAGTCTGTTTCTCAGTAGTGAATTACATCCCTGTATGTTTTCCTGTAACATTGAGTCCTAGAGAATGTTACAGCATTTGGCAGCATGCACACTAATTTAGTCACTATGGAGCTGCAAGGTACTTTGAGGTTAGATGGCAAAGAGAGAAAAGAGAAAAGCCAGTAACAATAGTGCCCAAGATAGCTAATTTCTTCTACTACTTACTTGGTGTATTCATTTTATTTTGTGCCTTCTGCTATTTAAAGTTATAATACTCTTAGCTAGGCGCTGTGGCTCATGCCTGTAATCCCAGCACTTTGGGAGGCCGAAGCGGGCAGAATACAAGATCAGGAGTTTCAGACCAGCCTGCCCAACATAGTGAAACCCCATTGCTGCTAAATATACAAAAAAATTAGCTGGGCGTGGTGACGGGCGCCTGTAATTCCAGCTACTAGGGAGGCTGAGGCAGGAGAATCACTTGAACGATTCTCACGCTGAACCTCAACCTCACTGCGGAGGTTGCAGTGAGCCGAGATCCTGCCAGTGCAACTCCAGCCTGGTGACAAAAGTGAAACTGTTTTAAAAATAATAGTAATAATAATAATAAAGTTATAATATTCTGATGCCTTTCTTCCAAAGCATTTTAAGTGTTCTCACTGATAGTATTTTTCTTATTCTAGCTATCTGTGGAGTTGGGCTAGATATTATAATTCTCATTTTACAAAGAGAGATGCTGAAGCATGAAGTAAATGAATAATCATTGGCCAAGTAGTAACCTGGTTCTTGACTCCAGTGCTTTTTTTTTTCTGATTTATTATCAAACAATAAAGGCAGTAAGTAAAAAATTACTTAGTTTCAAAGGAAATAAGAAAAAAAATCAGAGCAATGAGATTAATGGACTTGGATTAATGTGATAATGCATCTCTGAATCTGAGCACATACCCACCCACTTACCTGTGTGAATTCAAGAATGAAATGAAAACTCACTTTACTGTGTGGGCATGAGGATGGACTCAAGGACTGTGACAGGAAATGTTAAGGTTGCAGCCATGAAGCTCTTAAGTAAAGTCACATCCACATCCTTAAAGACACATTGACGACTACCATTAGCCTGTTCAGAACGGGAGATGCAACTTTATTGAACTTGCTGTTTCCATGACATTTTAGCCTTGACATTTCAACATCAATTGCTCGCTGTTTTAATTTATCCCAGTATAGTCAGCAAGTGAGAAATGAAAGACTCCTACTGTTACAGGTTGATTATATATCTGCACGCAGGTATTTTCAGATTCAACAAATTGGTAAAGGGGTTAAGGATTTTATTTTAAACATTTGCTTAAAGCCCTTTAAGGACACTTTTGAACAGAACTTTTATTTATTTTAATTCTACCATTTAAGAACAATGATTGTTAATAACAAAACAATTAAATAAAAGAACAATGTGAAGGGTCATCTGATTTCATGTCACACTGTGAGTAGTAATAAGACCTACATGTCATGCTTAAAATATAGTAATCTTTATAGCTCTTAGAGTGCATAGGAACTTGAATCCATGTGGCTTGGAGCTGCCCCCAGGGATCTGTGACAGGGACTTGTGTAACAGCTGGCCTCAGAACTGTCACTCTGTGTATGGATGTTGGCATTTTTATACCAATTATTCACTTAGCCTTATTTTCTCATCAGAGTCTTGTTTTCTGATTGCTACAAAATTGGCCTCTTTTTTTGTAAAGTCATATTCAGGTAATCATGATATTCTATGCAAACATTTTTTTCATACACATGATTACTTGGCATCAATTGCAAAACTATACTTTCCATACACAACATGTGAAAAAGGAGTTTAAACAAATCATGCATTTCTAGCTGTGCAATTAACAGTGTTTAAGAATCATTTGTTGACAGGCATGGTGGCTCATGCCTGTAATCCCAGCACTTTGGGAGGCTGAGGCGGGCAGATTACCTGAGGTCAGGAGCTCGAGAGCAGCCTGGCCAACATGGTGAAACCCTGTCTCTACTAACAAAAATTAGCTGGGTGTGGTGGTGCACGCCTGTATTCCCAGCTACTCAGGAGGCTGAGGCAGGAGAATCACTGCAACCCAGGAGGTAGAAGTTGCAGTGAGCTGAAATCATGCCACTGCACTCCAGCCTGGTTGACAGAATGAGATTCCATTCCAAAAAAAAAAAAGAATTATTTGTTAATGCTGCATTAGAGAAAGACAATAATAAAGTGTTAATGTTGCTGGTACTGATTGAAAGACATGCATTACACGGAAGTTCTATTAGGAAAGCTACCAACTAGAATCTGTTTATCCTCATTCAGTGAAGGATTCTCCTTTGTTATGTTATGTACTGCCCTGGCTTACATGCTCGAATGAAGTATAAACTGAGGGTTTTGTTTTGTTTTGTTTTTTTGGAGACAGGGTCTAACTCTGTCACCCAGGCTGGAGTGCAGTGGCAGGATCACGGCTCACTGCAGCCTCAACCTCCTGGGCTCAAATGATCCTCCTGCCTCAGCCTCCAGAGTAGCTGGGACCTCAGGCACATACCACTAGGCCTGGCTAATTTTTGTAATTTTTATAGAGACAGGGGTTTTGCCATGTTGCCTAGGCTGGTCTGAAATTCCTGGGTTCAAGTGATCTGCCTGCCTT